ATTAATCAATGCTGTGCGAAGAACCTCTCCGAAAATCTCAACTACAACTCCGTCCAACTTTACCCTCTAATGGGGCACAAGAATCTCCTGGGTCACCGAGGCAATCGATACTGTCCTCAGGACAAATTGTAATGACCTCTATGCGGAATGGGAGGAGAGAAAAAGCGATCATTTGACGCCCTGATGCTCCTGTATCTCCTCACAAAGGTGTTCTTACTATGCCAAGACTCACTTACTTCTTGAGTGTGCACCCTCTTTTGACAAGCACCAACAACACAATGAATATGATGCACACCTGAAACAACTTTTAAGAAGGCACTGAACCTGTCCAACTAGAGGATGAGCTATGGATCAGGCAACCCTCCCAGTGCGACTGGAGGTATAGGGGGTCTTAAATCAACGCATGTTGCTTTACCTTCTTTTCTGTCTTCGTGTTTGGGCTTTCCATGCATTTAGTCAAGAAGATAGAGCCCGAACGCTTTGAGAGACTTGGTAGGAGCTCAAGACCCAATGTCTTTACTGAAGCCATCAATTCGGATGCACACAACCACCCTTACAGACTCCTCCAGTTAAGACCGCCACCTCCCAAACAGCAACAAACATCCCACCTGGGACAAACCGATCATGTGAAAAACGCCACACAATTCCTTCCCAATGCTTCAGGAAAGAACAAAGCTCGTCTCCTGGCAGTGAAGGCACCACAACTCCAGATATTTCCAGTTAGCAGTGACCCAAATCCTCCCTGGGCCACCCTCTCGACCCACAGGCCATTCGGATTGGTGTTTGCTCTTCGCCTAGCCGCCCCCATCCTCACCGCACATATGTTGTATTTGCGCAAGGGCACAGCGATCAATTCGGACACCATGGTCCCCCTCATTTGTGTCACACACCCAGTCCAAATGGATCAGTATGCACAGACATGAGGAGATCAATGGACATAAAAAAGAGAAGCCTCGCCACAGTCCCGTTGCCCAGACTCCAATGGGTACCCCAAGTACAGAGTAGTCTGATTGGAAGTCAAAAAGCGTCCTGTGGAGCCACTAATGCCTACCCTGAAGGATTGGATAAAGCAGATTGCCTGGGACTAAACCTGTGCTGCCACATTGGCAGACACCTACTTGCCATACTCTGTATGGAATGGGGTGAGCTGCATCCACAGGGAGAACCCAGAAGATCCCCGAAAATATGAAGACCTTCCCCCTTGCCTATAAGACTTCATATCCAGAGGGTCGAGACCATTTGGAGCATGGTGCTAAGTGTGCTCTAAAGTTCCTCAATAGAGCTGGGTGCAAAGCTCATCACAGAAACTCAAGGACCCACAAGCGACACAGCTTTCCTCTTTCAGAGACTCATGTTTGCAATCCAAGAGGAAATGCCTGCAGCATTTCTGGGCACTTGGCCCCACCTGCAGGGAGCTAGGACGAAGGTGATTCGAGAATGTAGCTCAGATTACCTTGTTGTTCTTACTTTTAATCCTATTTTTGTGAATTTTCGTCCAATGTATTTTTGGTCCTTTAAATAAAATATATATACATAATATATGGGGGGGTAGGAGAAAAATTTCCTCCCCAAAACAATCCTACCAGGTAGATCTTGAGTTTTTTCCCGAAGCAATTTTTATTTTTTTCTCTGAGGAAGAGGGTCCCCATGACAGTTCTAGAGGTGGTACCTCCTATATTTATATATATATATAGTATATATATATAGATATATATATATATATAATATATATATATATATATATAGTATATAAATATAATATAATATAGTATATATGATATATATAGGATATATATATATATATAGTCATAATCTTGAAGGTACCCGACCGTCTTAACTTGGACTGGGTGACCCTCCAACCTCAGAGAAACAATAAAACGTACTCGAGGGAAAAACTCCAAGGATTTTTTCTCCGTGGAGCTCTTTTAATATTTTCTTCTACTATCACCCCCTTATATTTTTTATATCTATGTGAACAATTTATTAATAAAACCAGAATACATTTTGCAGAAAAACACAAACATGAATACAGTGTACAGATGTATGATAAAAGATCATGGGAATTTTCCTCCAGCTCCTCCAAAGCCAAACCCGCGGAGCCCAAGTATGCAGCAAGCCATTTCCCCTATTGATGGCCATATGGCCACGCCTGAGGGCTGGAACATGAAAGTGGCGCCCTTGGGTCCCTGGTGTATTCGCTGGAGTCTGGAGCCCCAATTCTTTAAGGAAACGTGTGGCTATTCTTCGCCATGATCCCAAAGATCCTCTGATCCCACTGGGACAAACTGATAACTGTTGGCTTATGTCCCCTTGTACTATGCAGATCTTCAGTACTCCCTCCCATCGCCCAACACTGTGCTGGATATAGGTGTCACCCAGTGTGGAACACACAGGTATAGTCCCCATTCTAATAGCTGTGCCATTTTTAATCCAAGGATGAGATGGTGGAACCCATCGGGTGGTTTGCTGGGTTTTGTGGCAATGTTGGCTGCTAGTGATCCGGGTCTCCCACTCGGCATGGGCTATACCAGCCTGTAGCAAGGGTTCTCTTTAGATGTCGTTTTGACCTCATTGTGTCCCTCACATTGCCAGCCCTTGGTTTTTTGCGGATCATTTAAGACCATGAAGACACCGTATAGTCTTCTTGCACATCAAACACCAAAATGCACATATATTGTGTGACATTGGGGCAGCAAGGCGACAGGAGGCCACTGCAGTAACGGAGGTCTTAGGGTCAAGTATCGTTTCTGATTGTCCGATATGGGCAACTGTTTATGGAGGAATTCCCCGGAGTGAGGGGCACCTCCACAGCCTGGAGATGGCAAGTCACCGTATCTTATGTTCAGCCTTGAGCTTGTTTAGCAAGCACCTTTTCAGCATCCAGGCCACCCAGCTTGACATGTTTTTTGTGAGCAGTTTTTGCAACTAGGGTTTGGTGCTGGAGCATCAAGAGTCTCTCATTCAGTGATTGTACTGTAGCATAGCTTTGGTTCCTGTAATTCCTGCTGAGTCACTGAAGTTAATCAGGAAGAATTTGTCTTATTAATCTTCATTTGGAAACTATGGAAGAAGATAGGGAAACTGGTAGCAGCAATCTTGGAGGATCTTCTTATTCCCAGCCCCCAAAGCCTGACCGGAAGAGAGGCTTGGCAACCACTGTCTATCTTCAAGAGGGAAAGATTTCAATACACTCTCTAGCATAGGTCTTAAGGCGGGAGCCTATCCTTGAGTTTTGTACTGCTGAAGGCTGGGGAAACATCTCATGCAGTAGGTAAGTTTTTGGGATTCGACAGGCCCTGGTGATAGGTATAAGGCATCATGGTGTCAATGACTTTCATCTTGCTTTTCCATCGTCCGGAAGGTCCCCTGAGACTTTTTTTTTTTCTAGGATCAGATCGATGGCATTGGACCCAAGAGAGCACCAAAGGAGATCTGCCTATTGTGCTGCGGGATTAATGCTCGTGCTCCTGGTCAAATTTCGCTAATATTCTGGATCATCTGTCCGATTGGTAGAAACTTTTTCACATTTAGGTGGGGGGTTTAAAGAAAGGGCCCAGTCTTTCTCCATGACTTAAATTTTAACTGATGTCCTCTAGAGAGATTCAGTTTGTCCAGCTAGGGTACCATCATCCTGAACCAGATATTGAGCTCGCTGGAGAAGTGCATCTGTGACTTCCTTGACGACGCAAACAGAATAGAAAAGGAGCAAGAATGTGCCCCTGTTGCACGCCTTCACATGAGTCAATTTCATGGTCCCCAAACAATAGTTTGGAGTTCACACTATAACACAATTCTATGAAGGGATAAAGGAAGGGAAGTTTCTATAAACTGCTTGGAGAGCAGCATCCCTTCTGACCGAGTTGAAAGCGTTGGCAAAGTCCAATTTGACCAAGACTTTTTCATCGGACATGTTTTTGATATTACTCTTGCTGCGTGGGCAGCAGCTTCACAGCCCTGTTGAACGCCGAAAAACCCAGCTGAGTTAGATTCAGCATTGCAGCAGCCTCTTGACTCACCCTTCTTACTGCAGCCTTGGCGACTAGGCGTCGAAAGTTGTTACCCACGGCAATGGGCCTGATTCCGCCATCCATTTTTCCGGAGGGCACACAATGAGACACCAAAGAAAAGGGGTCTGATGGCCTCTGGGGACATGCCCGCCAGGCACAGGTTGGCAGTGTAGCGTTGCTGTGTACTTGTGTGGTACACTTACATAATCCCAGCTACGTTACAGATAGGCTTCCTGGCTAGCTATAACGTCAAGAAGCTCATCACGTGTGAGCAGTAGGCCGCAGGCCGCCTCCTCAGTTCCATGGTTGGCATAGCAGACTCGTCAGGTGGGCCTTGGCTTCTCCTCAAGATTCTTAATTATAAGCCTCCAAACTCATCCAACGTATGTATTTCTTACTCAAATATCTCCTCACGAACCCCCTCGGCAAATGCTGACTGCAGTGTGATCGTGATTTTGGAGATTATGCAGATATAGAGATTATTTCTAGCAAGCAGAATGGGACAGTGTGCGTGACCGCGTGGAGGCCTAGAAACGCCAGCTACCCACTGCATTCTATAGCCTTGTCTAAAGAGCTTCCTGGTTAGTTGTTTCCTGCCTTATTTGCTAACCTACCAGGAGTTGATCCGGGTTTTGCAAATTAAGTGAAGCCAGTTAAGCCAGTCTGTAGGGGAAAACCTAAGCCAGTCACCAATCCTGCCAAAGCCAGTCACCCAGCCTGCTTCATTACTGCTGTGTGAATAGTTGCAAAGGCTTGATCCACCCCAGCCTAGTATGCATTGAGGGCTTAAGCCAGCTCAATAACCCAGCTGAGAGAGAAGTAAGCCAAGTAAGATCCTCTTTGCTGAACCACTCTATGCTACTAGTACAATGCTGGTCAGAGTGATAATCACCATCCCTCTGGTACAATTGTGGCTTATTAAGCCACTCGGGCTTATTGCAATATGAACTGTTGGTGTGGAATGCCAGCCTGACGCGCACGCTGAACACTCACCCAGCCGCCACCACCCTCTAAGCCTGACGCCACCGACAACGTGTGCCATTCCTCTACCCATATATCTGGTTCTCTCATCCTTATTTTACTACCTGCACACCCGGTCAAGAGCTATATTTCACCTATGTGCCACCTTTAAAAAGCCTAGGTATGTAGGTCGTTGTGTAAGCACTATTTTTCATCGAGATTCGGCTAATTGTGAAAGTGAGGTAGTTGACTCGGCCACCCCATAACATCCTCCTCCTGACGTCGCTTCCACACCTTCAGCCAAGTACATTATAGAGACATTTGTGTGTGATTTTTTTTTTTTCGTATTATTCAGAGAGACTTGTGTCCTAGTGCATAATTTTTGTTCCTTCTGTGTGTTCCATTTGATTCGTTAATCTGCAAAGTTGTCTAGTGTCGCTTTATCGTTCATTTTTACGTTCGTTTTTTGTTATATGATTGTTATCATTTACTATTCTCTCCAACCTGAACTAAACAATAATTACTCTTGTACACATTATTTGTCTATTGTGTACAGTAATTTTTTTTATTAATTTCTTGTTATTCACTCTTGTGAACTGTTTATTTATTTTTATTATCTGTGTTCTTTCAGTGTTGTGCAATCTACCCTATTTCATTGTGTATTATTTTTTCCTTGTGTCCTAACCTATTTTCATTGTATTTTCCTTGTTTTTCTTGCTAATTCTGTGTTGTTTCATTCACTACCCATTCACCAGTGCGTAAATTACCATTTTTATTCTGTGTGCACCATTATTTTTGTGTTAAATATTTTATATATGCCCGTGTTCATTTGTTTTTAAAGTTTACGAGTGTATACTATATCTTGTTCTTGTTTTAAGC